AATAAAAGCTACTACTATATCGGCACCCCACATTAGATCTCAAAGAGACAACCATAAACAGGAATTAACAACATTAGCAAGAACAAAACTTAAAATGAAAATGCTTAAAGATTGGACAAAAGAACTTGGAATAACAAACACTACGGTCCATAATTTTTCGTTGGACACCTCGAGGTGGTGTAATGGTTAGAAAACTTGTCTCGCTAGAACTATTACGGCTGAGTAGTGGGTTCGATTCTCCCTGGGTGCCCCCTAATTTCGGCCTTGTGCCACATCTAAGCTATGCTTAGAAAATCACTATAACAAACACTAGGGGCATTTTTTACATTCCCTTATCCATACCAGATCTTCCATCTGCAGGTTCGAACCCTACCGGAAATCACATATTCATTAAGATTTATCGCGTGCGCTGGAAGATAGACGTGATAAATTATTGTTTTAAAATAAAAATGGAGCGACTATTTTCAAACATGGATATTCACTATAAATAACATTTGAAGTAATAAAAATGCTATGGAAATAATAACAACCACATTCAAAACTATTATGTCTTTTATTAGAACAAAAAAATACGCATAACAATAAGAATTCTGAAGCAGGTATAGATAACTGACCTTTACAATATTTTGGGGAAAGTTGCAAGAATTAAAAAAAAACGTATCTATGAACACAACATTTTATTAAATGCATTAGTCGTACATACAAATAAGTTCAATTATAATTTCGATCTAAAAAGTGCCAGATTTATTAAAAGAGATAATAATTTACTTAGAACAATTCCTGACACTGGTACTATGGAATCTTACCCAAATTTTAATCTATGTACTGGATTTTCGCAAATATAGACTTTCCTAATAGAAAATACTTTTCCTGAATATTTTTATCCTGATATATATATATATATATATATATATATATATATATATATATATATATATATATATATATATATATATAGCTAAACCTAGAGAGCCAGACAAGCTTACCAAGGAAAAGAAAAAAAGGAACCTAGTATAATCGGTAGGAACTCACAATTCTTAGAATTACCAATCGCAGTTTCACTTATCTACGGCTGACTTAAATTCTAATCAGAGCAAAATCCAAAAGATATGTAATTTCTTCAGTTGAAAATCTCCAAAGATAAACAGGCTAAAAAAAATAAATTCAATGTAGGAAGATGTGGGGTTGTTTTACTGACAAAAAAGAAGGTGGTGTGGGGGATAAATGCAGATTAAGAGTATATGAAGGACAGATAACGGTTGACTCTGGCCTTCAAGGGTCATGATGGTATTAATCGGTGAAGTATCCCCCTTTGAAAGAAGTTCAGCAGTGCGCATCCACTACCGAGAATTGAAATGTCATACCAACTGTACCAACGAGGCCTCGATGAAAAGGTAACGAATTATACTCGATATAGCGCTGTTCGATCACATATTGCGTGATGGAACTCATCCGAGTTTCTCTTACCCATAGGACTGTGTCCCCACGAGCCACGACTATATATATATATATATATATATATATATATATATATATATATATATATATATATATATATATATATATATATCATAACTATTTAAAAAAAATGTTTCCATATAATATTATGCTCTACTGTGAATTAAGCACTACTTTTTAAAAAAATAAATGCTAAAGAACTCTGGATTATAGATTTGTTCTTTCCTTTTTTTTTGATATATATTATATTTATATATATATATATATATATATATATATATATATATATATATAGCTAAACCTAGAGAGCCAGACAAGCTTACCAAAGTTTCACCTAAGCGAATCGTCAGGGAAGACTGGCTAAAAAGGTAAAAAAGAACGGAATACTTATAGTCAATAAACAAAAAAGCATAACTAAGTGACCAAATAAAAAAACAAACAAACAACGTAAGTAGGTTTGTCTGGTTCTCTAGGTTTAACTATGTCTGCTCCACTTACTGTATCGAGCACTTTATTTAGTTATTTTGCCTACTCGTATCGTTTTTTTTTTCTTTGGGCTTTGGACTTGCATGCTAGACGATTATTTTTGGCTAACGTACATGTTCTTGGTTCTTTCCTTTTTTTATGTACCTTTTTTCCCCCTTTGGTATTGGTTTGATCATTTGCAAATCAAAACACTGAAGGTTTTCCGAACGAGTATAGTTTCTTATACTTATAAGATTACTAATATATATATATATATATATATATATATATATATATATATATATATATATATATATATATATAAAACCTTTTATTAGTTGAAATATATAATCCAAAAATTAATCTCAAACTAAAATAATATAAATAATAATTACATTATATGAGACAAAAATCAACATCAATAACAACATTTATCCACTTTTCTTTATTATACATTAAACTGCATCCTCCATAATTCCCTTTGACTTCCAATATGTTTATAAACGTTCAGAAATTTAAAACTCCTGAAAAACTAACGATATTTTTACTTCTGTTTATAAATACTTGTAGAATAAAATTCTTACATTTGTCTTGATAAGGTCTATCACGAAACGCGTCGGCTGAGATTGCTTTTACTTTTGGCTTTATTAACATGACCATATATCAATTAGGCCTCATTTAAATACCCATAGAGACCTACCAAACTGTATCCGTAACATACTCGTTGATAATAGTAATATAATAGCCTCACGCGCATGTAAAACAGGGAAAAAATAATGCAAGGATTAATAATGAAAAAAAGAAAAATTTAAAAGCCAACACTCAATAACATCAATTATGAACACGGCCACAATGTGCTGACCGTGTTTGGAAAATCAAAAATTCTAACATACACGTTGTTAATACAAACATAATAGCCTCATCCATGTACAAAAAAGGTTAAAAATAATGGATGCATTAATAAAAAAAAAAAAAAAAGAAAAAAAAAAGCTCAGTAGCATCAACTATGAACACGGCGAAAATGTGCTGACCGTGTCTGTAAAATAAAACGTCCCTATAACTCTAGATACATACATAAAAATCCATACATTCATTTAAAAGAAAAAAAATAAAATCGTCCTTGATAATGGTTAAAAGTATAGGTGAAAGCACTCAAACATACAGAACATTTGGACAATTTCAACATAATTTATACCCATAAAAGAAGAAAATTTTAATACAAGAAAAACGAAATTTCCGTCGATTTTTAGTGAAACTTGTATAAAAGAGGGATTCATAACCATTTTGATTCTCACCAGTCGAGGTACAACTAAATACACCGAACCAAAGTTACATATTTGTAGTGAGTAAATTGTTTTGGTCTATATGAAAAAATTATAATAAATAACTACTCTCGGTATAGAGTCCTCTTTTGAATTATTACTGTGAACATCAGAATTTATATATCATTTTCGTTCTCATTACATTCGGGTATATATATATATATATATATATATATATATATATATATATATATATATATATATATATATATTGGACAGAGGTTTAAAATTGACAACTTTTTCATCTGATGAAACAAGACCCCTTTCATCAGTTTTCCTGGGCGTTTTGTCTTGATAGCTTTTCGTAATCGCTTCAGCAAGTTGGCCTAGTAGTCTCCATTGATGATGTGGACCTTTTGAAGATCGTCAATAAGCATATTGCCTTTTGTATCCGAAAAAGTGAGACCATCACCCTCTCTGCAGATGAAGCGACCTTGGCTTACTTTGGAGCACGTAAGGAGACGTGATTACAGTTGAAATCTCCAAAGATAAACAGGCTAAAAAAAAAAAAATAAAAATAAATAAATTCAATGTAGGAAGATGCGAGGTTGTTTTACTGACAAAAAAATAAGGTGGGGGGGGATAAATGCAGATTAGGAGGATGCGAAGGACAGATAACAGTAGACTCTGACCTTCAAAGGTCATGATTAATCGGTAACGAACCCCCCTTTTGAAAGAAGTTCAGCAATGCGCATCGACTACCGAGAATTGAAACCAAGAGAGAAAGGACATCAGGTAAACGTCATATCAACTGTACCAACGGGCCTCGATGCAAAGGCAGCGAATTAGACTCGATATAGCACTGTTCACATATTCCGTGATGGAACTCATCCGAGTTTCTCTGAGTAGTTAAAAACATGTCGGCATGAGTAATAGGAACAGCCTCTCCACGAATCACGACTATACATATATATAATTATTTAAAAAAAAATATGTTTCCATATAATGTTATGCTCTACTGTGAATTGAACTTTTTAAAAATAAATGCTAAAGAACTCTGGATTATAAATCTGTTCTTTTTTTTTTTTTACATATATATATATATATATATATATATATATATATATATATATATATATATATATTATTCCTTACACGAAAACAAGGACAAAAGTTCATATAAACATATGTCCGCAAATCCGTCGTTTTTGAATTTCTAAGTTTACGTTAGATGCAGTTTAATGTACAATCCAAGATACAATCACTTTTACAAATATAAGGGAGCGGCTTCACGACCCCAAAGTTTTCAAAATTATTTTTTATATACTCTGTATACCTGTTTAGCGCCTTCGGGGCCAGGGAGGGAGGGGGGAGGGGCTCCAACAGTTTATTGTGACATATGTTTCCTCTATCTTTCCGATGGAAATACTGAATATCAAGATCCGTCAGCATCTTTCGAAGCCTGATGACGATAACTAAGGATACAGTTGCCTAGACAAAGACATCTCAGGTTTGAGAAGCATGACGGGAAAACCTGTCGCTTGCATCGAAACGGAGGCTGTTCCTATTACTCATGCCGACATGTTTTTAACTACTCCAATTTATGACCTTCGCTAAACATGAATCCACAGCGAGTCTCCAGAACATTTCAAGGTCATAATTGATTATACGGAGTAATTATTCAGTCTACTATAATATTAAATCTCGGATATCCAGTGAGGGCCCTGGGACATGGATATTGCGAAAGAAAATCTTGCAACAAAATAATATTTTGAAGTTTTACATCATAAATTATTTTGTATTGCACGTTGGGCTTACGCTCACATCACACTGAAACACCGGCTCCCGTACGATCACCGAAGTTAAGCAACGTCGAACCTGGTTAGTACCTCGATGGGTGACCGTTCGGGAATTGCTGTAAGCTTGGATATTCTGGTGCTGTATTGTAGAATGGCTCTGAATTGTTAATTGGAGAACCGAGTTCCAATTCTTGTTGAGTTCATTATATACACTTACGCACAAATACCTTTAGGAAAGATATGAATCCAACTATTCTCTCTTAGTTATGGGGTTGATTAGTCAAATTTGTATCACTAAACAATTATTATCTCAAAAATTATCACGATCTAAAAATATTTTCTGCAAGCCGGAGAAAACGAATCAATCTGATTAGTTACACAGGCATGTTTTTTTTAGATTTATTTACATTCTCTGGGATATAAATGTATATAAACTATTGTGGTCACAAAGCGAGGGATCATTTTATATATTGATTATAATACAGAATTGATCCTCCACTTTATATCCACATCATACTTTCTTGTTCCTTTATCAAATACTGATTAGGCATGAATCTACCTCTTCTCTCCCCCCGCTATGGGTTAATTAGTACAACTTGAATCACTAAACCATTATTATCCCTTCCCAAAAATTGTTACGCTCTAAAACATTTTCTGAGTAAACAACCTGCAAAGAATTTATAAATAGTAAAAAATGTAATCAATCAATTTTTAGGTTATTAATTTATTCTGTAAAATGAAAAATATTACAACATTCATTAACCCTTTGAGCACTGACCACCGCTTTACCGGTGGTAGAGAAAAATGACGTAATGCCCAGCCGCCGGTTGAAAAGTGGTAGAGAAAAATGACGTAATGCCCAGCCGCCGGTTGAAAAGTGGTAGAGAAAAATGGCTTAACACTATGATAGCCGAGGTGTCGTTTTCGACACCTTCAAATTTTCAACAAATTCCTATGGAATAACTAGTTTTGGTTCGATACTGAGGCTTATGAACAATTATTGAATTTTAGCAAAGATTCTTAACAGACTTAATTCTTTAAAAAAATATTCAGTGGAATAGCTGATATTTGAATGGCCGAGGTGTCGTTTTTGACACCTAGGCTATTTATAGGGTAAATACATTGAAACATTTCTCACAAGCAACAATACTTGTGTTTATGTCCCCATCTATCTATTTATCTATCTATCTACACACACACACACACACACACACACACACACACACACACACACACACACACACACACACACACACACACACACACGCACACACACACACATAATTTATACACACACACACACACACACACACACATATATATATATATATATATATATATATAGATAGATAGATAGATAGATAGATAACTAGACTCGTTTCGAAAAACCCTCGAATTTTTTGATTTGCTAATCAAATCAATCTCGAGGAAAAAAAAAGGGTTTAAAAAAAAGAAAGAGCTACAAACATGAACTTCTGCCGACAAAAAAAAATCGCCCAGATGCAGGTCTGAAGCCCAAAAAAAAAACCCTGATACGAGTAACAACTAACTAACAAAAGAGCTCAATACAACCGTAGAGCACCTAGTGAGCCAGACAAACCTATTTAGGTTTCACCTAAACGGATCGTTTAGGTGAAACCTAGGTAACTAAATGTATCTATATATATATATATATATATATATATATATATATATATATATATATATATATATATATATATATATATAATCACTTTCTTTCAGTATGAGGTATACTACTATTTGTGAATTTCTTTTCAGACTTGTTATTCCTGACTTGAATATTGAATATATTAAAGATGGCTGCTTCACGGCCTAATGTAAATAAAGATGTCAAAGAAGCTGGCCATCCTAGTGTCAAAAGAGCCCAGCCACCCGTTGAATGGTGGGTAAACACTTTTTATATCTACCGTGAAATATTACATGCCAATTATTTGCGAATTTTGACTGAGAAGTTCAGGCAGAAGACTTAAAATTGTTTAGTAATGCTGGGGTCAAAGCGTTAATCCTTTCGATTCAAATTTCAACAAGCAATTCTTTTTCTTTTTATTATTTTTATATGAATGAATTCATCATGAGGCGTATAAACACTAGATTTTAGATCCAATGTGCATTTAATGGAATGGTAAAAATGTCCTAGCAGAATTATTACGTAGCAAGCAATCTCGATGTACAGAGAAATTAACAACTGCTATTATTAACAGATATTTTCTTTGGACGTATATCTAATTATCGAAAGGGTTAAGAATTTAATAAGGAAGATATTATAAGAGAGAAAAGGAATTTTTGACTCTTGTGTTTGAATACCAGTTCTTCAATAAGCAAACTTAAATGTTTCCATCAGACGAGTATGTATACCTTATTGTTTAAACTGTGTTTTTAATGATCGTATGCTTAATAATAACTAGTTCTAACCCCTGAAAATTTAATGGTTTCTCTGCTTTATTGAAACTTAAATTAATGATTGAGTAAGCTCAAAGCAGATTCTACGACAATAAAATAGCCGTAGAAATTCCCTTATCACATCGTTAAATATTTGAGCTTAACAACTTTAACAAAATATTGCAATAACGATAATAAATATGAATACTGCTCGTTATTTTAAGAAGTAAGGGGGTACAAATGAAAAGATTTGAAATCGACAACCTTTTTTCTATTTCACTGAAACAGCCGTTAAACACTTCTATCTTGTCTTCTTTCTTTCATTAATTTTCTCACTGAAACCAAGTAGTGTTCCTGAATTTCCCAGTGATCAAAACGGAATAGTTCATTATTTATTGGCAGAAACGTTAAACACTTCTATCGTCCCTTCCTTCTTTCTTTCTTTCTTTCTTTCTTTCTTTCTTTCTTTCTTTCTTTCTTTCTTTCTTTCTTTCCTGGCCTATTCATCCATTCTTTCTTTATTTATTTATTCATCCATCCATCTATTCTTTCTTTCTTTCTTTCTTTCTTTCTTTCTTTCTTTCTTTCTTTCTTTCTTCATCCATCCATCCATTCTTTCTTTCTTTCCTGGCCTATTCTTTCTTTCTTTCTTTCTTTCTTTCTTTCTTTCTTTCTTTCTTTCTTTCTTTCTTTCTTTCCTGGCCTATTCATCCATTCTTTCTTTATTTATTTATTCATCCATCCATCTATTCTTTCTTTCTTTCTTTCTTTCTTTCTTTCTTTCTTTCTTTCTTTTTAGCTGTCTTTCTTTCTCTCTTTCTGTCTTTCTTTTTTTCTTTTATCTTTTATTTATTTTATTGACCTTATGCAACATTATAATTTTTATTGTAAAAGGGCATATTTCATTTGCATTGATTTTTATATACATGTTATTGGCCATCATTTCGCACACAATGCACTTAATTTATGTAATTCTTTCAATTTTGTGCGTTAACAATAAATTTATCGTTTGTTCTTAAATTCGGCTCGTGTAGTCTGTCTTTGTTGTGTGCCTATATACATTAAATGTTACTTCAAACATTTGTTTGAACTATTTTTTTCATAGCGTTTTTTCACCAAATAAAAAGTTGTTTATATCTGGCTTGTCATCTTTGCTCTGTAGCAAATCAAGGCGATGAATGCCTTTAAAAATGTGACAATAATAATGAAATACTGGCTAGAAGGTCAGGAAAGAAATGAGAAAAATACAATTCAGTCATAATATATGCGGATTGATGTTTGTTAAAACATCTGAAAGGCGTAGTAATTTGTAACGCCTATATAAAATTCCTATTTAACAAGCAGGAATAATTTAAATGTCAGACACTTAAGTAAACCCAAAAAAAAAATGTATTAAAACAAATGCTATAAGAGGTTCTTCCTAATGTCCTGTTTGTCTGGGAATTGAGATAATATAATGATTAGTATAATTAATTAAACACCTTTTATAACTAATTAAACACCTTGTATAATTAATACAACGGCAGGGGACTGGAAAAATAGTTCGTTTTTATGCTTTTAGTTCCACTTATATATCTAATTTTTCAGTGGATACGAAACATTCTCATCCAACCAAGAAGAAATTCCCTACAAAATTCTAATTTTTGGTCATAATTTTCGAGAAATTTGGAGCAAAAGCTCTCTCTCTCTGTTTGTCTGTCTGTCTGTCTGTCTCTCTCTCTCTCTCTCACACACACACACACAAACACACACAGACACATAGACACACTAAAGGAGTGATGGATTTTTTTCATTTATTTATTCGATAGATTTTATTATGTAACATTATTTTTAATAGATACCCATATTTGATTAGACGAGTGGGACGCAAATTCAAATCCTGCCGGAGATCACATATTTTTCATTAAGATTTCTCTAATATTCAAGCCGGTAGACGAAAATAAATAGATATACCGTTTAATAAATCTACTTAAACAGAGCGTCTACTTAAATATGGGTATCCACTAAAAAATAACGTTCAAGTAATAAAAACTTTCGGATTAGTAAATAAAAAATCCATTACTTCTTTAGAAATTGCTTTATTTACATTAGGATACAAAACTGAACAGATCTGAATGCTTCGAGAGTCTGAGAAAAATTTGCGTTTATAAGGCACTATTTAAATGTGCATAATTGTAGGCGCATACCTTGACTGAGACAGTCTAAAATCACGTTCGATCTAACGTCAGTTTCCCCTGCCAAGGGCGGCACTGGTTCGAGTCCTTATTTCTCCTTAATAATATTTCTCGAACATTCAGGCCGATAGACGAAAATAAATAAATATACTGTTTAAAAAATAAACGGAGCGTCTAGTCAAATATGATATTTAAGCAATAAAATATATAAGAGATTTAGGGAAAATCTATGACAAAGTGGAAAACGTTTCCTTGTTAGATTTTGAATTTTCAACATCCTCTCTCCTTCATGCATATGTAGTAGCATAAAAATAAATACCACTTTAGTCTGATGAAGTCCTAAAGGACGCAACCCCTCACACGAAATCTTTCCCATTTTGTCATAGATTCCCTTAATATATATCTCTCTCTCTCTCTCTCTCTCTATATATATATATATATATATATATATATATATATATATATATATATATATATATATATATAAAGAGAGGGAAAGAGACAGAGACATGATCAATCAAAACTCGTAAATAATTATATAGGCC